TTTCTTTTTTTAGAAAATAACTAGTACATATTGTGCTCTTCTTTGGCTTACTTCATTATTTCACATGGAACAACTTGAGATGCTGTTGAGATAATTCATATACATTTGAGGAAATCAAAATGCTGATTTCTTTTTTTTGTTAAAAATCAATGTCATGTTGGGATCAGTCAAGTGGGCAGCCAAGTCCAAAGTTAGTTAGAACCTTTTTCATGACTTTTTTAAGTGCCGGCCATCCATATATAGATACGATCGTATTTGTTAGGACTATCTCTTAAGACGAATAATCATAAAGCGTTTCAACAAATTTGTCGTTATATGTTTAGCTTCTCAAATCTTGGTTGTGTCTTAATAATAATTTCGCTCTCGTAAGATAAAAGGAAATAACTTAAGGCCTGGTGGTCTGGCCCAAAAAATACTATTCTGTTCACAGGCTCAAAGAGTCTTGTCCCGGTTAAGAACGTTAGTTTTGATAGATGTAAAGTAGCTTTTCTTAAGTAAGTATATAAATTCTTTGTTCACTTGTTTAAAGAGCTTTCTTTCCTGATAAAAATATCTTCTTCAGAGGTAAACAATAGAGGTTTGCATCAGTCAATGCATCATAGGGAAATACTGGTAGTATACTGGTAGGTTTAAGGTTTTGTATATATTCACATCCAAAGTTACTTTATGTTGTTAAAATCGCTCTTGAGATTCAAAGGACAAGATCTTAGAAGAAGCTAAAATTTGAATTTTTTTTTGAAAATTTGTCCCTGCTTTGCCATCCTGATTTATTTATTTTTGGGTGAATATTTGAATAATGCAAGTATCCTATGATTCTTTCTGCTAAACTGTTTGTTCAAGAGCATTCCAGGAAAAGGGGAAACCTCTATCAGACATTTTATTCATTTTTTATCAACCAATGATTGATCTTTTGATTCTTAGATATTCTATGCTACCATTGATGTTGTTTGTCCAATCTTGTGGAAATCTAAAAAAGAAGAAGGGAAAATCTGTAAATAAGGGCTGCAAGAAAAAGAGAAACTCCCTTTAATTTAAAGACATGATATGTTGGATTATTAGATTAATTAGAGGTTTGTATATTAGCATTAGATGAGATAAACATTTTTTTTCCAAAACAATAGACCTTGCATTTAGAGAAAGGGCATAATATGAGCATTAGTAGTACTCCCTCCGTCCCATTTTATATGAGGTACTTTGATTCAGCACGGAGTTTAAGAAAGAAAGGAAGACTTTTAAAACTTGTGGTCCAAAATGAATGATAGAAATTTGTGTGACTGTAAATCATTTCATTGAGTGTAAAATAGATATTTTATAGTTAGATTGTTACTTTATATAGAAATGTGTCATTCTTTTTGGGACTGACTAAAAAGGAAAGTGAGTCATATAAATTGGGACAGAGGGAGTAGTAGTTTCAACATTTACCATGTGGTCAGGGGCGGCTCAAATCCGTTGGTGGCCTAAGGCCAAAATTAAACTTAGAGGCCTTAAAAAAAATATATTTTTATTTTAAATCTATTTTTCTAGTTTTTTGAGATGCAAAGTTGTTAATAACTTTTGTGTAGTCAATCTTTCTAATAATTCTTTTTCAATGGATAATATAGCCAAACCACTTCTAAAATTTATCAAGAGCAACTTTTTGAGATTTTATCAAGTTATTGACTTTTCTTTTTCTTTTAAGTTTTGAATGACCGGATTCATATTTTCTAGTTGACATATTAAAATCTAAAAAATATTTTAAACACTATTTATAATATCAAATAAAAAATATAATAAACATAAGACACAAAACAAAAACAATACTAGAAATTAGAATGATATTACCGGATTCAAGAACTATGAAGACTTGATTTTCAAAAATGAATTGGGTTGTTGCAATATATTTTTCTCCAAATTTAAAATATAAACTATCAATAGAACAAGTAAATTCTTAAGCTTTGAATAAGAGAGAGATATAAGATTAGAAAAAAGAAAGAGAGAAGAAATAGAAGAGAGGAGGATAGAATATATAAAAATAAAATTAGAAAAAGAATAAGGTAAAAAAAAAAAACAAAAAACTTGTACATTAAAAAAAAATGTACACAACTTTTTATTGGAAAGGGAAAAAGTAATTGTTATATTTATCACTTCATTCATTAATGCCGTTTGCATTTGTTGTCTTAGTTCTAATTTTATTTTATTTTTAGTTTAACCCTACCTAATTAACTAAAAAATGGGGCCCCAATTTATTGGGGCCTAAGGCGAAGGACTTTTTTTTATACCTTACTAGCCGCCCCTGCATGTGGTAATTAGCTAGAACATTTGAGTTAATTGTACTACATTATGACAAATGAAGAATAATTTTTGCTAGCATTTTGTTAGTTAGGATGTACTGCTGGTACTTTTATGTGTTTAGTAAGTCATAAAAAAAATGAAAAATGTAGATTTGTTTGGATAGCTAACTGCCTGCTATTTTATTACACATGGTGTAAGAAATTCTTTTATCCAAATGTGATTGACTTAACACATGTTAGATTAGTTGAGATTTTGCTTAATTTCAAAAATAGTAAAAGTGTTTGTATCACTTCAAGTTCACATACTTTGTTGACCGATATTTTTCCTTGATTATTTACTCAACATTTTCTAATCCTTTTTTTTTTCTTCTTATGTCTCATGTGCAATCGGTGGGCTGGAGTTTCTACTTAGGAACTCGTTTTTGGCCTAATATTTTAGGCCAACAACAATTAGGATCATCGCAACGCTTGGAGTCTTGCAAATTAGGAGTCTAATGTTTTCTTAGCCTTTCTTTCGTTGTCCTATTTATGTTGTTTTGATATGTTGGCTAACCTTTACTTACAAGTTTTTGATATATTGCTTGTCTTTTATTTTGAAGTTTATTTACGTGAGCTAATATTATTTGTTTATGAATTTAGTTGAAACACTTTTAAAACAAATGATACAAAATAATATTTCCTTAAAAATGAGCTAGTTAATGAAGTTTACAAAGGCGCTAGTTAATATTTATTTAGGCCTAATTCATTGCTTAGACCTCTAAATGAATTTGGGACTAGTTTAAAGGCTAGAATAATTACCTTTAGAAATTACTTATGACTAAGATATTTATCTTTAGACATGCATTTTTTTTAAAGAAAATAAGTAGGGAAATAGGCTTATATATTTAACAAAAATAAATATAACTATAGAATAAGGCTCAATAGTTAAGCTATTTTTATACTCCTGACATCCCCTTTATATAATATATTGACTATTCTTACTTTTTTTTAAAATAAAATATTTCTAAAACATTTTAATCTTTTAACATGCCATTTCAAAATTTTAGATATGCCAACAGGTTCAAATACAAGGTACATACATATATATGTCATACATATAA